GACCTATAATGTTTTGACAAAAACCAAGACCTTCCATAGGTTTTTGACACTTCCACCTTGAATCAAAGTTGTAGAGGAAATATTCAAGTTCATTCTAGACAAATAATGGGCTCCAAATGATTAAAAAAATGACCAAGTTATGACCTTTTGAAGTTGACAAGAAAATCCTTCAAAAACTCAAAATGACCTATAATGTCATCCAACTTTTGATGACCCTCCAAGCATAATTTGATCTTTCCTTGCAAAGAGAACTTGTTAGGGATGATGAGAAGAGTTTATTAGAAAAAAACCACCTCAAAATGTTGAAAATTAAAGGACTTATGCCTATTTGATCATAGCATCCACAAATTGCTAAATTAGGTCAAACATCTTGAACCAAACTTGAATTTATTGATGATTTCTTGCATAATAAGCCATGGTGAACCACATATGATCTTGAAATGATGTTGTCTTGAATCATACTTAATGTGAGGGATCTTTGGGAGCTTGAGAATATCATAAAGTCAATAAGAAACCTTGCTTGAGGTTGAAGAAATATGTTCCTCCTACCTTGAGAAACAAACCATGATACTTTGATCATTGTCAAGAACAATGCTATGCAAAAATGAATATGAGATGCAATGAAACATAAGCCAAGAACCAAGAGAAAACGTGGGAAAATTTTGGGGTGTTACATTAGGTAGTTAATTTATAGTAGTATATAAGGGGACTCGTGTCCATGATGTAGGCGTCCACAATAGTACACACATTTCTACAAACTCAAAATATCTGCGTGTTGAAAAACGAGTGAGGAAAGATGTATCTGTATGTTTCACCATTTATACACTTCAAGCATTTTTACATTCAAGTACTCTTTTTCTTCAAATTACATTTTGTTTGCCTTTACAATCCATGTCCTTTTATATTACTTGCATTTCAATTTCAAGCCTTTACTTTACCTGCATTTTGATTTTTAGCCTTTTCACCATTAAAGCCTTTCTTTACTTCAAGTTTCATTTAGAAGTCATAGCAAACATTTTCAAGTACTTTTCGATTTCGACAGCAGAATGTTTCTCAAATTTATAAACATACACAAATATGTTCCGGTAGATTTTTTAGTTCGATCCCTTAAGTATTAATAGAAACTTGTATTTGTTTACCAAATTTTACATTAAACACACATACCAAATAGATCTACGTTGGATAATGTCATGGTCTTTATAGAAATTAATTTAGGATAAAAGAGAAAGTTTGTGATGATGCTCTCAAGATTGATATTAGTAAGTCGTATGAATGTATTGATTGGGATTACCTTTGTGCAATTATGCAAAACATGGAATTCTTTAGTTAGTGGATTTTTCGGATCATGTTGTCTGATGGATTCGTTGATTATTATGTTGTTGTTAATAATAGTGTTGTGGGGCCCACAATACATGGATGAGGCTTGTGACAAAGAGATTTATTCGTTTATTATTTGCACAGAAGAGCTCTTAGCTCTTATTTGAAACGCAGAAGCTAGATTAGATATTTATGAAGTCAAGATTTGTCGTGATGCTCTCATAATATCTCACATGTTATTTATAGACGACTATACTTTATTATTTAGGATCCATAGTCATGAAATCACAACTATGAAAAATATACTTCAAACATATATGAGGCAACATTTGGCGAAACAATCAACTACTAAAAATCTAAGATTTTCTACATTCATAGTACTACCCAACAAGATAGAGAACACATTGGTATCATTCTTAGTGTTTAGATGGTCAGGGTTAAGATGTGATGTCTCCCTCTCTTGTGGTCTTAGACCATTGGTGCTCCCGACTCTCTCGGACTCCCTAAAATTGGTATCAGATCCTGGTTATACTTTGTGGGCGAGCGGGAGCTGGATCCAATGTTGGATCCTATTATAAGGTGTTGGGAACTCACACTTGTGGGGGAGAATGTTAGGTGGAAATGTGAGTGGTTAAAGTCTTACATTGTCTATGAAAGGGGGAAATGTTGGATTTATAATAGAGAGGGGGGGGGGCACATTTATCTAAGACCTTAAGTTTTTGGGTTGAGATGTGGTGCCTCCCTCTCTTGCAGTCCTAGAGGGTTGGTCTCATTGATGCTCTCGACTCTCACGAACTCCCCAATAAAAGAGGAACATAATCATAACAGAGGAACATAACGTGGAAACTCCAAATTCGAAGAAAAAACCACGGTCATTGTCAATAGACAACCCGAGGATAACACTATGTGAAAATTATTACAACACATAATATACTCTTAATTAACTCAGGCCACTAGTACACCCACACCCTCCAAAATAAATATTTAATAAATCTCGCAACACTCTAATACAAAAGTATAAAGAACAAATAAAATCAAATACAAGCTTAAAGTGCTTTTCACTGGTGCTTCTTGGAATGAACAACTTGAATCTTATATATAGCCTTGAACTTCTTATTCCTTCACAAAACTAAGCGATGTGAGACTTCAAAGAAATTGTATCCTATATATAGTTTTGCACTCTCTCTTCATTCACAAAACTAAGTAATGTGGAGCTTCTTCAACATGTATATTTTCAACCAACCCCAAAAATCTCCACCTTGATTGAAAATAATACATAAACTTCCATTGTCTTCTCCGACAATCATACTCCCTTATAAAGAGTATCAAAGTATATATTTTCAACCAATCTCCACCTTGATTGAAAATAATACAACTTTCATTGTCTTTACCGACAATAATATTCCACCATAAAAAATATAGTCACTTGAAAGAATTTTCACATTGTCTTCACCGACAATCATAATTTTAAAAACTATCATACTCTCTCAAGAAAAATATATTTCACTTGAAGATAAACCACTTCAAGAATTTCACATTGTCATCACTAACAATCATATGCTTTATCATGAAGAATAAATTTCACTTGAAACTAAATCACTTCAAGAATTTTCACATGTCGAAAATCGGGTTGAAAACTTATGATGCAACTTCCTTGTTTGCAGGAAGCTCTTCAACCACCGACATAATCTTGCACCTTGTGTAATCTTGATTGTATCAATACATCTTTGAATTGAACTTTTCACAAGTCAAAAAAACTATTCCATCAATTTTCTCTAGCCCAAATTTCACAGTAGAATTTTTTGCTGCAGCTCAACAACTCTTTCACAACACTATCATTCTTTTCTGATATAGAAGATCAGACAAAACTGCAACCACAAAGCATACTAAGAACACTTATCCTCGAACCGAACCAAAAGCTCAGATACCAGTTGTTAGAAAAAAATAAACAAAGCATAGAGAAAAAAGAGGAACACAATCACAACACAAGAACATAACGTGGAAACTCCAAATCTGAAGAAAAAAACCACAGTCGTTGTCAGTCTTCCCCTCTTCTAGCTATTCGCATGCGTCGATCAATCATCTTCGGCAAAATTACCTTATAAAGTATGCACCAAGGATCCATTAGATTAAACTAAGTGCATGATAGACTGATTCTTATATCCTTTGCATGTGACCACTGGTTAGATTATGATTATGTAAATGGATCCCCATTAAGTCGGGTTTGTGGACAATGTTTTAATGGATCACCCCTGATGCCTGATGGGCAAAAGAAAAACATGAGCCCAATACGGTACCTCATAGGTCAAGCAATCATTGTACTTAGGGTCACTCTCCCATCTGTTATCTTCATTGTATCGATTCAGTCTGGTCGATCAGGAGAGTGAGTGCGAGAGAGATTGAAATAGCTATGCCTAACATATCCATACGTGCTTGTTGAATCAATTGTATTCCGATAGCGCGGCAACTCATGTTATTTATTCCTTTCTTAATCCAGCATCTAGTAGGTCGCTGAATATGGGCATGCATGCCCGAACGCAAAAAAGGCTATCCGAGATACTATACTCTTTGGTTCTCTCCCAAGCAAGGCTAGAATCAAAGGAGGAACTCCTGACTCAAATAGGTGTGATATCGAAGTGGACTCAATTGTCCAATATCTTCTCTTATGCTATTATTTCGTTGAGTACTCAAAACAAGATGAACAAGCGAAAGGAAAGAACCTCACATAAGCAAGCAGTTCGGTCTACTCGCTTTTGGCTTGGGCTTTGCGAATGGAACTTGCATTCTCGAAAAACAGGGCTCGTTCACTTGGTTTCTCACTTCGGAATGCTAAAGGAATGGTTGACCTAACGCATGAACCAACTATCCGAGATTCTGCCTTCCGCTTTGAAAATATTGGGAAGGGGTCGGGCTTTCAGCTGATTCGAAAGGGATCGTCAAGCCAAGCAAAGATTCGATTGCCGGTCTTTAATACAATAGGTCGGCAGGCAACTGAAAGATTCGACAGGGATTTGAGCTTGGATTTTTTATATACACAATGTCATGGATGGATTTAATAATGGAAGGGAAGGGCTTATGAACCGGGAAGTTACCCCTTGGTAGGGGGCATCAACATAGCTCTTGTCGGGTAGAGAATACACCGTCACTGATGACTTTCCTGCTTGACTTCCCGCTACGCCCCTTAGCCATCTCTTTTCTTTAGCATCCTAGAAAACACTCCTTATCCTTAGGCCGAGAGAAGGCATTGGTATGCGTTCTTTCTTTTTCCTGCAAGGGATTAAGAAATTTGCTTTTTCGTCCTTATTTTTATTGCATTTAGTGGATGTGTGACTTTACTATGCTTAAGGCATGGAATTTATTTACCAACTTTTGTCCAATTGCCTCCAGTTGCAGCCTTCCAGTCTTATATATAAGTAGTCCAATCCCCTTGTTGTCGTATAGCAAAGACTAAGAATGTAGAAGGTATGGAATGATTACAGAATGGCTCAAGCAAAAAAGTATTGCCCGAACACTCACTACAAAGACGATTAACCGATCTTAATAAGAAGGGATTAGATCAAGGAAAGGAAATGGGACCTTAACTTATTAAGAGGCTAGGTGAGGACCTTCAATCAAAGATAAATCAGTCCTTGATGGAGTCCCCTTTTGCGGCATTACCCCGGTAAAATTCATTTTTAAAAAATATGGAATTCTCTCTAAGAGCTGCGGAACTAACAACTCTATTAGAATGTCGAATTACCAACTTTTACACAGATTTTCAAGTGGATGAGATCGGTCGAGTGGTCTCAGTTGAAGATGGGGTTGCACGTGTTTATGGATTGAACGAGATTCAAGCTGGGGAATTGGTTGAATTTTCCAGCGGTGTGAAAGGAATAGCGTTGAATCTTGAGAACGAGAATGTCAGAATTGTTGTCTTTGGTAGTGATACCTCTATCAAAGAAGGATATCTTGTCAAACGTACTGGATCTATTGTGGATGTTCCTGCGGGAAAGGCTATGCTAGGGCGTGTGGTCGACACGTTGGGAGTACCTATTGATGGAAGAGGGGCTCTAAGCGATCACGAGCGAAGACGTGTCGAAGTGAAAGCCCCTGGGATTATAGAACGTAAATCAGTGCACGAGCCTATGCAAACTAGGTTAAAAGCGGTAGATAGCCTGGTTCCTATAGGCCGTGGTCAACGAGAACTTATAATCGGGTGTCGCTTGCGTGAAAATAAGGTGTCGGCATGACAGAAGAGTCGCCACCTTTCGTTATTTATCCCTCAGAGCGAGAAAGGAAACGATCGGAAAAACCTGACGAAAAAAGGGTAAGACAAGGTCATCGCAACCATTGTCTGGGTTCGGGAGTCGGTTACGCAAGGGGAAGGTATTAGCACCCCTCACGTCCGTCGTACTCGACGGGATCCTCGCTTGTTTGTTTACTTGGACGGGTTGGTTATAATCTATCTACCTATCAAGGCTGGCTGAAAAGAAAAGAAAAATGACTCGGCAAAGCGTCGCACTTTATGCCTACGTATTCTCATCAGAGAATGAGAAATCAGAGTCAACGTAGTTCGCCTACGAAGGGTTACGGGGGAAGGTAGCTCGCCAAGACATCGTCATCTTGTGCCTACGTACTCTCAACAGGCATGAGAGATCAGAGCTCACGTAGTTCGGGAAACTACGGGTTATCTCCTAAAATAAGTGTTTTTTATTATGTTTGCGATTTCAACCGTACTAGAGACTATGACCTGAGAGGGAATGCGTCCTTTCTCAGATAGCTTAAGGCTCGTAACGTACGAAAGAAATCATTCATGATTACTGCATTTTAAACTGCTTCGAGATGAGAAGAGAACAGGCCCAACTAGGAGGGAGACTATCAAGTCCTACTGTTATCATGCCATGGATTCATCCTATGATTGAGGTTTGAACAGGGAACTCCTAGATGTTGTCATGCATAGGTTTCAACCTAAAAGTCTATCATCAAATCCTCATCAGAAGAAATGAGAGTCCTAAGGGATCATGTCGATGATACACCAAAACAGACAAAGCATCAGCTTAACAGTAAAATGCATGCAATGCAAGTGAGGGAGGAAATGTGTGTGGGGCTTCAGCCTCCACAAGCTCATCTCAACCTCAAGCCAGTCATGAAATAACAGTAATCATACTGAAGATAAACAACATGCTATCAAGCAATATACAGATAAAAGAAATGAAGTGCCATCAGGCAAACAAAACACATGCTTGAGAAAGAATCATCTACTCTCTAATCCTAACCCTAACACAAAATCTTGATCAAATCTAAGCAAAGCCCTAAAGCAAAACCTAACCAAAAGAAATCAATCCCAGTCTTCAAGCTTCAGAACAAACTTACCAAAGAAAGGGAGCTAAGTAAGCAGACTCATAGTGTCTTCCTCAGGAAAGCACTAGGAGGTGTATACTCAGGAATCATATCCTATGTGGCTCGACCACTGTGATCAGTTTACATTCCTCCTCAGGAGAAACTAAACTCACAAGCAGGCTCCAACATCACTGGATATTTAGGAAATCCTATCCGAACTAGTGGAACTAAGTGAATAGACCCATAGGACCTTCCTCAGGAAAGTACTAGGAGGCTTCCACTTAGGAATTGTATCCCATGTGGCTCAACAACATGTGATCAGTTCACATTCCTCCTCAGGAGAAATTAAACTCACAAGTTGGCTCCAACATCATTGGATACTTGAGAAATCCTAGATAAACTAATGGAACTAAGTGAATAGACCCATAGGACCTTCCTCAGGAAAGTACTAGGAGGCTTCCACTTAGGAATTGTACCCCATGTGGCTCAACAACTGTGATCAGTTTATGTTCCTCCTCAGGAGAAATTAAACTCACAAGTTGGCTCCAACATCATTGGATACTTAAGAAAGAGGTGAGAAGAAAGAATGAAAGTCATTCATAGTGCCTTCCTCAGGAAAGTACCATGAACTTCCTTCAAACTTCAGGATCTCAAACCTCACAGATAGGGAATAAGCTCCAAGCTCTAGGTCTCTGAGTCTTGATCTACAATCTTCTCCTCCATCATGCTCTTCAACAAGATCTTCAAAACAAACTAAGCCCCACAACAAATTCCCCAAAATAAACCCCAGAGATAAACAGATAACCACAGGACAGACAAAATCATCAGTCAACTTCAGAAAATACCTAAAAATACTAAAACAAGGGGGAAAATTCTACCAATTATTCACAAGGGTCTACAACACCTACCCATAACATCCACATATGCCCATACCCAAAAATCAAGACAAAACTCTCTAAAGAAAATGAATTACTTCACTTATGCATAACATAAACCCTAATTAGGATACCCTAATGCTAACCTAATTAAACTATTCAAGAATTAATCTAAAAATCAAGAATTAAATCCTATGGGGAACTATGGTTCAATATCTAATCACACCAAAAAGAATGAATTAAAAATCCTAAGGGAAAGTCCTAAAAGAAATTCTACAAAATGAGGTATCAAACTAAACATATTAAAAACCTATTTAAATGAAAAATACTTTAAAAATATTAAAAGAAAATAAAATGGAAATTTTATTTATCTATATTTTTCTAGACAGATTTATTAACATATGAAAAAAACAAGTATTAAAAAATATTCATTTTTCTATTTTCTATGAATTTTATAAATGCAAGAAATATAAATGGAATTAAAAAATAAAAGAAATCAAATAAAGGGGAGGGGGGTGTGAATAGAAGAGCGCCCCAGTTCATTAATAGATGGGCCAGATATGGTGGGGTGCGAAAAGAAATCTGAGATAGGCCCATGGTTCCTCACTTGTCTAAACGGCAGCGTTTGGAAGCTGGCCTTTCCCTCCGTTTTTAAGTTCAAACGAGAGTCGTTGGATTAGAGTAATAGGTCAAGAAATTCAGACAGATCCAACGGATGTCAGTCATCGTCCCAAAACACTTAGGGTTTTCAGCAAAATCGTGATTCATGCATAAGACTTCTCCTCCCTCGTTCTCTCTCCATACTTGATGAAACTCAAAAATTCCAAAAAGGAAAATGACCTACTGATTAAGAGGAACAATGCTATACGTGTGATTTTCTCTAATTCCTCTTGAATCGTTCAAACAGAGAGCTTAAAGATCATGGTCCCAATTATTTTTCCTGAGATCAACTCTTCTAAAACTCAAATCCAATGATGCACTCATGCTCTTTATGTTACCCTAGTTATACTAATCTAATCCATGCCAGCTAAAACTCAAAATCCAGCCAATTCTTGGAACTTAAAGAATCTATCATCTGTTGTAAAACCTCACACAGAGCTCTCAAACTCATGGGAAAATATCAACTCACCTAGCACATTAATTCTATACCTAGAAATTTAACTGAAAATGCATAATTAAGGAGATCCATGGAGGAAAACCAACCTGTCAAAGAGAGATGGTGAGTGCTCGTGGAAATGGTTTCAGGGCTTGTCCTGGCCTCAAGATGATCCTTTGATGATGAACAACCTTCTGTTTGCACTGGTTTTGAAGGAGAGGTCTTGTGATGGAAGAAATCTCAAGTTGCTTGATCTTGAAGGAAGCTCTTTAATGGCAATTTCTCTCTCTCTTTCTCCTCTGAAAACTCTCTATCTGACCCACCTTTTGCTTCAATGTGGATCACTCTTCTTATAATGATTGATGGAAGAGGCTAGAAGCTTCTAGAATCATCTAGAAAAGCTTGGAAATCTCCTTTGGTGATAAGTTCTACATCTCATATCTCATGCCTTAAACCTTGTAAATTTTGTGTCAAATTCTCCTTATGTGAGATATTGAGAAGGAATGTGTGCAAAAATCAGGCCAAACTTGCCTTGTGTGAAGGTTTCTCAAGTTACCTTATGATTCAAGTAACAATTTTCCAAAGCAACCTTCATTTTTGAGCCTCAAATCAAAATTCTGTTTAAACCAAAGTTTTTAGAATGTCCTTTACATTCAAAATGGTATATTGGATGACCTATTTTGGACTCATAGATCTCCCAAACCAAATTCCAACTTGACTTGAATTAACTTATAAGCCATTTTTAGTTCAAATTTACCAAACTTTGTCATTCCATGCTATGAGCTTTTCCAACAATTTATGACCTATTTTCTAGGCTTAAAATGCCATTTTTAACAACTTTCATGTTTTGAGTTTTTCCATTTGAGGCTTGGAAATAGGAGATATGGCCTTTGCTTAAAATGACTTATAACTGCCAAATGACCAAAATACCCCTGTCTTGTTCAAACCATAAGTTGAGTTCCACAAATCCTACCAAGGACTTCTACCACTCAAATTAAAGCTAAGGAGATGCTCTTCAACATTCATGTTGACCAATAGATCATAGGAATCATCCTACTAGGGCAAAAGTTGTCTGCAAGTTGGGTGACTTTCAAGGACCCAGATTCACACACCTCTGCTGACCTGTAATTTGTCAAAACCATAACTTGAGCTCTGCAACTCCTATCAAGGACTTCCACCACTCAAATTAAAGCTAAGAACACGCTATACAACATTCATGTTGTGGGGAAGATGAGATATCAATCACATCTAGAGCTAAAACTGCCTGGAAGATAGGGATCAAATTAGGGTTTTTTCACTGACAATCCTTGGAAACCCTGACTGGAAACTTCTCAAACTCCTCAATCATGATGAGTTGGCCTAGGAATCATCTTTATAACATGTCCATGCATCATTCCATGATCTCATGGCCCTTGGATTGGGTCTCAACCTTCTCCAAGTCTTCAGTTATCTCAGGGTTGACCCCGTCAAAACCCTAATTCTACCATTCATGGTTGAATCTTCTGAACTCTTGCACAATGACTTCTCTGGACTTCATGATGGCTTTCAAGACATCTCGTAAGCTTTCTCAAAGCTTCAAGCTCATTCTCAAAGTCTCAGAATCATCTGAGGAGTTCCCACAACTCTCAAGTTATGAAGCACACAACCTTGGTTTCAACCAATTCTTCTGAGGATCTCTTGAACTTTCTGGTGAAGATATCAACTTTCAAACACTTGATGAATAAATAATTGTTGGTCAAATTTTGGGGTGCAACAGCTGCCCCTATTCAAACGGCTTGAACCTGACTGGGTGAGAAGCGAACGACTCTCAGCCAATCAAGGTGCGAGACGATTGAATACCGGTAAACCCGAAAATTTGCCAACTGCTCAACTCGTCGAACACTGGAATAATAGCTGCACGGCAACTATCTGGAGAAATACTGATCTGACATCGCCGTCA